TGTTTGTCTCCATCACCGGTGGTGAAAAATGATGGATTCCTGGCTGCAGCTAAAAATGCTTTTCACTTATGGAGCGGTCCATACACACTGGATGAAAAAGGGGCTGGGGCTAAGGACAAAGCCTGTCTTTGTTGCCTCTGGCTTAGTCACTGTGGTCACTTAGTTATCTTCAGCGGTCCCATCTGTAAAGTGTGGTCAACTCAACCAACCGTCCTCGAAGGCGACTAACCCTGGGCAGAGGTGCACAAGTCGGGAGAGAGGTTATTTTGCGAGAAAGCAGCACAGTGAGGCAAGCGCCTCTGGTCCAAAGCCAAAATCATCGAGCACTACGTGGCCACAGGAGTTCACTTTCGACTGTGCAAGCTCGTCTCACACACCTGCCTTGCCTGCTCCACTCTCCCTGCTCTCCGTTCCCAAAGATCCACTGACGATGTATTACAATTTCTAGCCTGTTTTATTTTTGCCTAGACAGGAACCAATTGGCTTTCATTTTTGTCCAATTACATTATATAATTCCCAGGTTCAGTTTTCTCCATCTATTTAGGGAAGCGTCTTTACAATGATGAAACATGTTTCTGAGTGTTTCAGAATGAGCCTTCCTCTTCTTACAGGAGGCAAGAGGTCTGAGCCGAGTGCAGGGTCCTGGTCCGTGTTCCCTTTGATACGCACAGCCGGCTGCCTTGAGTCATGGCTCCCTGTCACATCGGCCATCCATTCATTCGTTGATCCCCTCATTCGCTAAAGTGTATTTGTTATTTAGTTATTTATTTAACAGTCACCAAGTCACAGACTGTGCTGGTTGCTTGGGAAACCTGGTCATGGATGAGCAAAAAATAGACCCTGTCCTTGTCCTTGTACAATTCAAAGTCTAGTGGAGGGAAAAAAATCATATAAAAAAAATATATATATATAACTAAAAATCCTGATAAAGAACAGTACATGATACTTGAAGATCAAATAACACAAGGGCTTGACCTGGATGAAGAAAGTGATGTTTGATATGAGAGCTAAAGATGGGGTCGGAGTGGGGGCTCCAGGACAGTTTCATTTGCATTTCGAGAAGACCCGTGGATACAGTACAGAGAACAGGATGGAAGCAGCGGCAGGAGGAGAAGCTACACCCTCCAGAGAACAAGGGAAGAGCAGGCAGAAGGCTATCACAGAACTCCAGGGAAAAGGCGGTGTTACCTGGACTACGGTGGTGGGCACACGGTGGAGAACAATGAACAGGTTCACGAGCTATTACAGCAATGGGACCCACCAGAGGGCGAAACAAAGAGGTGCCAGGATTGACTCTTGGCTTTGGATCTAAGGAACTGGCTGGCTGGTGCTGCCATTCATTGAACTCCCCACCTACCGTGTGCCCAGCACAGCGCCCAATGCCATGACAGCGCTGGTCTCTGGATTTCCTCTGGGTCCCTGCCAGACGAAGGCCCGGTTCCATAATCTCCTACACACCCCACCCAAGCCGTAGGTCCCTATGAATGCTGAAGCGGCTCCTGACTGTGCTCCCAACCCTGGCCAGAGAGAATCCTCTCTATCCCAGAAAATGCCAGGCCCCATTCTAGATTCCACGGTAAACAAACAGGCAGGGCTCATGCTCTGCGTGAAGGTGGACCTTCCCTCCCAGGCCAACCCACAGCCCCACTTGCAGCCGCTGTCTCAGGCCCTTTGGCTCCCAGCTCCCAGCATCCCATCCAGCCCACCTTCCAGCAGCCTCTCATGCGCGGCCCACGGCCCCCATCGCAGCCGCTCATCCAGGGCCTGCACCTGGTGACCGGATCTGGCTCTGCACCTGCTAGTCTTGGTGCACCCTGAGGTCAGAACTCTGCTCCCCCTCCAGCTCTCTCCATCATCCCTGCAAGTCGGGCTCTTTAACTACAACTTAGAGAGCAATTAAAAGCCCAGTGACAGGGAGCATGAGTGCAGCCCTTCTGGGCTGTTTTGTTTGGGGGAGAGAACATTAAGTGGGTGAGAAGGTGAACATTACCTACATGATTCAGGATTACCAGAATGCAAGAATGAAAGTGTTCAGATTTTTCTGTGAAGTCACCACTAAAAAGGTCAATTTTCTCACGAAGACGTATGTACCAAGTTGTGGAGAAGAAACCAAGTTTGAGTTGCCACTTAGCTAGTTTAAGTAAGTGATGTCGGAGAGGTTAGTCTTTCCAAATTTGGGTTCTTTCTCCTCTAAAGTAGAAAAGACCACCCATCACTTATCATTACCATCACTTACCACCCAGGATCATTATGGAGGTCCACATGGGGTCACGGTGCCCGCCAGGCACGGTACACTGTGGGTCTTGGGACTGCCAGCAGGTCTGCAGGCTCATTGTGAAGCCTTCACCCTCACGTCTGCCTTCTCCAACACGTCTCCTCTGCCCTCTGTTCAGAGGGCGCTGTGGTCACCAGGTGACTCCCCAGAGGCCCAGTGGATACCGTCTCTTCTCTCTTATCCCAAGGAACATTCTGGGATTCCAGTCCCAGAATCTCAGCCCAGTGGGCATGCTCCCTGGCAAGACCCCCTTCAATCCTGTCTATTCATTCATTCATTCTTTCATTTTTTCATTCAGTAAATATTTAATCAAGATCAATTTTGTGGTAACCAAGGTTTGGGTGCTGGGGCTACAAAAGTTAAAAAAAAAAAGACAGCATCCCGTGACAAGCTCGTGGCGGGTTGGGGTGGGAATAGCTAAGGTAACAGACAAGTGTCCTGGGGTAACACACGAAGGGTGCTTAAGAGAGAATGGCAACGGGGGGCGGTGGGGGATGGGTAGATTTAACCAGAAGGAGTCCAAGAGGTTCAGAGAAGCAATGGAGCCTGAGGAGGACACGGGGCAAAGGCAGTCAACCCATGGTCTTCGTGGGGATCGTGAGCCGCACAGAGGTGTCGAGGGCGGGAGGGCTTTCTCGAATGAAGAGGAACCACACCGGAAAACAGAAAGAGCGCTCATCCTTCCCTTTGGCTCCTCTCTGGGCTCCTCTCTGCCAGGTCAGAGAACTTGTCGCCTGGGAAGAATCAAACACTCTGGGACTGGAGAGTGAGACAACTCACCCATGCATGTTCTTTTCCAAGCAATTTGTAATAAAACTGGTGACCTGGTAAGAGCCTCCAGCGGGTTGTCTTTTTTTTCCCTTTTTACCTGAAATAGACAAACATGATCTATCCCACCTACAATGATAAATCAGCCACAAACCCTGAGCTAAACGAATGACTTTGGGGAAAGTAAATATTTTTTGTAATAATCACACACCATGCAATAATCAAGAGACAAAGAAATTAGCAAACTCTTCAAGTTACATTAAAACCCCATCCCTGGCATTTATTTGAAAATATCTAATACCTTCGAGGCAAATCACTGACGTGGCTGAACAACCTTGACTGCAATATTTAGGGATGCTGATAAACCCTAAAACCCTTACGGGACCATTCCTGGCTGGAGATGAAACCGTGTTTTTTTTGTTTCTGAAGTTGTGGGTGCTTAATTATGTTTAACAATATCAGTTATGAATAAAGTATGCACCCATGTCTGAACTCAGTTCAGCTTTTTCTCTGTCATTCTGGGTGTCCGGAAATCTGTCTGAACAGGGTTGGCAAACCTTTTCCATGACAGTCCAGAGAGTAAATATTTTAGGTTCTGCCGGCCACATGGTCTTCGTCACAACTGCTGTCACAGCAGCACAAAAGCAGCCATGGATGATGAGCAGGTCTGTGTTGTGACAAAACTTTATTTATGGACACCAAAATTTGATTTTTATGTAACGGCTTTTATGTGTTATGAAACAGTATTCTTTGATTTTCCTTAAACCATTTAAAAATGTAAAAACACTTCTTTAATTGCAGCCTTCCAGAAACAGGCAGCAGGGTGGAGTCAGCCAGCCAGCCAGCGTTTGTCCTTCTCTGGTTTTGACTGAACTGGGCTCTGTTGGAGCCGTGCAAAGAACATACACTTTTCCTTTCACCTGGGGAAGCCAGGCAAGATCCTTAACCTTCCCAGGCCCCCATTTCTTCTCTCCAAAATGAAGATAATCAGAAGGTCTTGGTGAGAATCAAAGGAAGTGATGTATATGGACAGAAGTTCCAGAAGAATCCAGAATGGGTTTAGCTCAGGAGGGATTTGACTGCTGCGTACATTCCAGTTCTCATTCGTTCCCCTATTTTCTGTTTTTCTACCTGGGTTTTTTGTTGATTTCCCTTTCTTTGTATTTAATCTTCCCACATACAACCAACTCAATAATGAAGCCTGAGAATAGATGTGCTCTTGATGAGGAGAAAACTAGCCCCCTCCCTTGACTTGAACCCTCCCAGGCTGACCCTTGACCTCTTGATGTCAGTGCCTGAGCTGGTCCCTGGAGGGCCAGGTATCAGCTAATACTAAATATCAGGGAGAAATTAATGAAGCCACAATTGATGCATCAAGCTGGATCCCATCTCCCTGGGAAAGCATCATATTAGAGATGGGAGGTCTCTTTGAGAAGATTTACAGCAGAGGCAAATGTCAGTGTCAATTACGTAAGTACGTCTCATCTTTCTTAGCAGGACTGGCACCTACTCCTCCCCCTCCCTCAGACTCCCCAAGGTTTGCAATGACCACAGATGCTAATCACAAGAACCACACATCAAAGCCTCTTCCGCCAAGCTCAGCACATCCCACAGGCTGGATGGGGGTGGAGAGGCATCTCTGCCCAGCATGGAAAGAAAAATGAATAATGAAGCCCAAGAATCACCCAAAAAAGGATTCTTCCAGACTGTGAAAATATCCAGAGGTTATTTTAAACAGTGTCTATTGCTTCTTGAGAAATGGGACCAGACATTCACCCGTATCAAATGCTTTATATCAGATCTTGAGAATATCCAAGGAAGTCTGTTTTCACTGGCCAAGACTCCAAAGTTGAACAGGCATCACAGAAAGAGCTGAAATACCCCAAAGGCGATGCAGCTTTAGAATGAGGAGTCAGTGTCCAAATCTCTGCCACTTAGTGGCTTGTGACTCTGACTCACCTCTCAGAAAGAGCCCACGGGTGTTCCCTAGAAAACACGGAGGGTCCATCTGAAACAGCAGCTGAAACGGGGAAGAGTGTGGTCCTCTCCAGTACTGGGCGGCTGGCAGATGTCTGAGTGAACACCGAGGGCTCACTTCTAGGATCAGGCCCCGCGCCCAGGAGAAGAGATGCACACCAGAAACGCATGTCCATGGAACAAAATCAGCCTACGACTGCTTCAAACCAAGATCAAACACCTTTTTAAAACTACAAGACACAAAAGAACATCATAAATTAGAATTAGGAAAATTTAGAAGGGAGATGACAAAACTCAGGAAAGAATGGAAAATGAAAGAAAAAATAATTTTGGAAATAAAGAATAGACCAGAAGGAGCACAAGATCAAATCATGGCAACTTGTTTCTTGAGGGAAATAAAAGGGGAAAAACAGGGAAAAAATAAAACTCAAAGAAACAAAGAAAGATGAAAAATATTCAAGAGAAAATGGCAAATATTGAAAATAAGCAAAAAAGATTATATATACAGATAATAGAATCCCTAAAGCAGAGAACCAAAACAAGGAAAAAGAACAGATACTAAAAAACTACAATTCAAGAATACTTCCTGAAATAAAAGGGGATTTGAAACTTCATATTGAAAGAGCAGAACTTATACCCGAGAAGATTGACCCAGAATGACCAGCACCAAGAAATTCTAGTAAATAGTGGACATTTAAAGAAAAAGATAAAAGCCTTTAACTGTCTGGAATAAAAGCATATGACTTAATAAGGGAAAGAAATTCAAATTGTCATCAGACTTTTTAACAGCAACACTTTACTCCAAAAGGAAATGGAGTGACATATTTCAGATGCTCAAGAAAAGAAGATATGAGCCAAAGATTTCATATGTAGCAAAACTGACCTTCCAGTGTAAAAAGTGTTGGCTGGAAAACTTAGGAGTTTCCCGGGTGACGTTTGAAACCAGCCCCCTGTACACATAGGACAAGGAGAGACAGCTCCAGGGTGAGGGGTAGCCAGTTTCATAGGCAATGGAACTTACCGATGAGGCTCGTCTTGGGCACCTGGATGAGGCAGAAGGTTCTGCCTACCAGAACCTTCAAAGTTTAATAGAGACTTTACCTGGGTTCAGTCACATAGTCACCTTAGATGTTCTCAGCAACACCTTGTCTCTCAAGGCTGTGTCTTTGGAGCAGCTTCTAGTGCGGAGAAGGCGAGTGGAAGGCACCTTCCAAACACAGGAGCGGGATGGGGCGCCTTCGACTGCCTGCGTCCAGCTCACAGGTCAACCAGTGGTCACATCCTCCCAATGACGTCCTCCAACAAGGCACAGACGATTGTTACCCACATGCAATAGATTCCCCACCCCACTTCCAGTTCTGTCGCCTGAAAAGGTCTAGAAACAATAATCAACCTCAGTAGCGATGAGCATCACTAACAGTCAGAGAATGTGGTCTTGAAATATGATTTCTCACCCAAAGAATCCAGGAATCCCCAGAGAAATGGCTGCTGGCGTGTCTGGTGCTGGAAGCATGCAAGATGAGCCTGAAACATTTTGTTCTACCAAATAATGAGGAAGCTACAAAAAAAAAATCACTAGTGTCGCGTCAGAAGGACTCAGGACCCAAGCTGAAGAAGCTTCCACCGGCCAAAGATGGGACAACTTGAGCTTCAGTGATAATAATTGCAATAGATTAAAACCCATCAAATAAATGTAAATCCATAGGTTTGTAATGATATTTTTTAAAAAAGATTGGTCACCCTCAGAGGATGATAGGAATCCCACTTGTCGTCTCAGATACTGGTAAGTAAAGGAAAATAACCCAGCCTTCATCCTGCCTTTGCCTGTATCACTGGGTAGCCAAATGATAAATGAGGGTATCTCTTTATAAGAGCATTCCAACTAATAAATGAAAAATAAATTACATTTTGCAGCCCCACAAAAAGAAAAACCGCCAGACATTATGTCCCTCTTATGGTCATACCTAAGACTTACCTCTAGTCATACCTAAGACAATTTCTTGCATGAGAAATTATCCTTTGTAGAAAGTACAATAGTGTAAAAACTCATTAGTACCTTTTCACTGATATTATATATGTGTATTACAATACCTGTTATAAGAATTAAGCGATTCTACAATTTTCAAATGCATGAACTTATGATAGGTCTTATTTCAAATTGGAGGGACTCAAAGTAATCCCACTCAAAAGACCACCCAGCTGAAGGCTCGGGGCACCCCCTGTGTGGATGAACCTTGCAGCCACTGAGTGCCCTTCCTGCTCCCTCCTGAGACAGACCTACATCCTGGCAGCCTCTGAGCCCCAGGGAGAGGTCTGGCCTGTGGGCTGCTGGAGACGAGCACCAGGCAGAATTCTGGCAGGAGGAGGAGCAGCAGGAAGGAGAGAGAATTCACACACCTGAAAGTCGACCGGGCAGATAGATTCCCAGGGGAAATACCACTCATTCCAGAGGCCGCTCTGAGCATGGAAGGAGCACTGGACTCAGAGTCAGGACACTTCGAGTTTTGACTGCCATTTACTGGATTTGTGACCTCAGGTCAAGTCATTTAACATTTCTGAACCCAGCCTTCCCAGGAGTATAAAAGGGCTAATAAGACCTGCCCTGCCTACTTCCCAAGGCCGCTGCAGGATCCGATGAAAAAATAATAACAGCTGGCATCTACTGGATGCTTGCCCTGTGCCAGGAATGGGCCATGTGCTCTACATGCTGTAGTGCCTCTTAATGCTCCATCAGCCCTCTGGAGTAGCCTCTGTCCCTCTTTGACAGGTGAAGAAACCAGGACTTGGAGAGCATAAATAACTCGTCCAAATTAGGGCTGGCATTTAAAAGCAAGCTGGTCGACTCTGGGATCTGTGCTCTTAACTACGATGCTGTACTGCCTCTTGAAGCATGACTCTAAAAGAACTTCGTGTCTTTAAAACTGTACAACAGAAGATTCACAGCGGGTACCACTTGGCACCTACACAGCAACATCCCCACAAGCAAAGCAGAAGGGATGCTTCAAGGACATCTCCAAGCAGAGACTGAAGGATGCAGGGAGGCTCAGGGATATATATCCTCCAAACCCTCAAGATGGGACAGGCTGGTAACTAGCAGGAGAGGGCACTGCGTCCTCTCTCTCCTGGCCCGAGAGACAGTCACAGGTGCTCCATGGAGAGCGGGGAGTCCCTGGGAGTTTCCAGGGTTTTAGAGGACAATCCACCTCTTGTAGAGGAGATAAGAGGAGCTGAGGGCACAGCCTCAAGGTCCTTTGTCACCCTTCCGGTGATTAGAGACGATGAGCCACCCGGAAGGGCCCCACAGTGAGCGGAGAGCATGCAGTGCTGGAGTCAAAGGAGCATTAAAGCGCAAGTCAGGACACTTGGGTTCAAGTGTCAAGGTCTGGATTTCAAGTCCAGCTCTAACATTAGATAAGTTGTAAGGCCTTGGACAAATCATTCCACTGTCTGGACCAGATGACCTCCAAGTTTCCTACCAAACATGATTCCTACAACTCTACCTCCTCCACGGGGACAGCGGAAGGGACTCGGCACTTACGGAGTGCCTACTATGTGCAGTGTACTGTCAGAGTCTTTTAAAAATGACACTAGTAGTAACATAACATTTATCAAGAGTTTAGTCTGGGCTGGGCCCAGTGCTAACATGCCTTATAAATATTAGGATGAGAAGAGTTACCCAAAACTTGGAAACAGGACAAAACGCCCTTTCAAAGTCACATTAGAGGACTGCCTAAGAAGAAAAAGTCACTGCATCCTTTTCTTACACCAGACTGAGAGAGGGCAGGGGAGGGGTGGGTCGGAGCCACTGAAGAGAAGAGAGAGATCCCCTGGACACCCAGAGCCCCACAGAGGACCTGGGGTTCCACATAAAGAGAAGCAGCCAGAGATGCACAGGGATTTTTCACAGTGGGTTGTGGACTTCCACACAGCGGGATGGGGGACAGGCCTCGGGGAGCACAGGGGAGAGGTGGCAGGAGGGCTTAGGATGAAATCCTTCTCCTGGCTAACTCCTACTCAGTCTTCTGAACTCAACTTCACCATGGCTTCCTCAGGGAGCCTTCCAGGACACTTTGGACCAGGCCAAGTTTCCCTGCTCCATGTTCCCAAAGCACTCTGCCCTTCCCCTCAGTCACGCGTGTTGAACTGTGGAATGTGTGACTCCGCCTCCATGAGGGGAGGGACTGTATCCCTCGTGAGTGCCGGGAATCCAGCGTGAACCACGTGGTATCTGACACGCACAGGCGCTCAGCTGATAGTCATAGGCTGGGTGGGCGATGGAATGGGTGGGTGAGTGGGTGATTCGAAAACCCAGATAAGGGCAATGGGAGGAGGATGTTACATTTAAGGAAGAAAGCAAGAGTTTGAGAGAAAACAGAATCATATAAAAAGAGCATATCATCTCACTGGAATTTCTGGGAATTTTATTTCTTTTTACTATGTAAAGGCCATATGTGCTTTCTGAAGGGAAATCAGGGTCTAGGAGGAAGAAATTTTATCACCGCTTAGCTGTCAATGAGAAAATGCATTTGCTGGCTGACTCAAAGTTTCACAGTTTATTTTCAACTCATCATCTATTTTAAAAACTACTAAGTTGGGTTTTGCCTCTGGCTACCTACAGTTCATCTTTCCTGACGCCTCAGCATTCCTTCTTAAGCTCCTCTTCACAATTAACCTCCAAAATAGTCCCAATTCCAAATATGCTCACCTCCTGTCTGCACAAATCATCAGAATACCTCAAAAGTCTGTCATTCCTTTTTTAAAAAAATATTTTATTTATTTACTTTTGGACAGAGGGGACAGGAAGGAGAAAGAGAGGGAGAGAAACAGTGATGTGTGAGAGAAACATTGACAGTTGCCCCTCGCATACCCACAACCAGGGACCAAACCTGCAACCCAGGCGTGTGCCGTGACTGGGAATCAAACCTGTGACCTTTCAGTTTGCAGAACCTTGCTCAACCCACTGAGCCACACCAGTCAGAGCAGAAGTCTGTCATTTATGCATTCATATCATACCTCCAAGACAGTTTCTCACACCACTAACAGTCACAAAAGTCCTTAGTCAATCCATGTGTCTTGATGTGGGATTCATAAAATATGCTGAGTCATTGTTACGCCTTGTTTACCCTTTGTTTTCTGTTATCAAGCCAGATGTCTTTAAGCTCATAAAATTATGTATGTCACACATGGAACAAGCATTAAACTAGATGCTGGAGATACAAAGATGAATAAAATACCAGCAAGAGAAGAATATGTTAGCAAATACTGTCAAGAGTGGGAAGTCGGGGTGGAGGCAGTGATGGGGAGACTGCTTTCCCAGGGGAACGAGCACTAACTTCTCTTATGGAAAATGGGACTCGTGTAATTTTTGTTGCCCTCTTTTCAATGGAAGGAATAAAAACCAGAGCATAGCCAACTGAAAAATAATAGATAGCATTTTTCACTCATTAAGTTATAAACAGTAATATCTAGTGGTGAAATTTTGTCACTGCTTAGCTATCATGGCCCCTTTGGAGAACAATTTTTACCAAACTTTTTAATGTGTTTATCTAGTAAGTCTACTTCCAGGTATCTCCCCTGGAGAAATACACATGTGTGCAAAGAGGCCTGAGTAAGTAAGTTAATGGCAGCTTTCTTTATAATAGTAAAAGATGGGGAACTATCCCAATGTTCCTCAGTCAGAAATACTATGCAATAGTTACAGAGAATGAAATAAATCCTTATGTACCTCTGTATCTGCTGGATAACTGAAATTAAGTGAAAATACTGAGTTGGAGAGTATTACAATTTCAAGCCATTGCTGTTAAAAAAAATAAGACAAAAAAATTTTTAATGTGTGCATGTACCTGTAGTGAGCAAAGTTGGTTTTTTCCCAACAGGCACTCCCTACCTCCCCTCCCCCTTCCTCCTTACAAACAGAATGGCCAGTTTTTTCTCAAGCAAAAGCCAGAGAGCTATGTGCTCAGGGCCAGCAGGCCCCTGGAATGAAGGGTGACTGGTTTTATGAAAAACCGGTTCTCTTTGCTGAGGTAACATGAGGGGAAGTCTGCAGGGTGACTTCTAGGACCACTCTCTCCTTTGATCTAAAGGTAAAGCCTTGCCAGGCAGGAAGCTGCTTTCTCCCCGGCCCCTTCCTTCCAGCTTGGAAAGCTCTCACGTTGGGTGAAGATGTAGGACTCAAGGTACAGCAGCCATTTTGTAGCCATGAGACAGCGGCAAAGAGAGCAACAGACACATTGAGCAGAGATGAGTACTGCTGAGCCACCAAATGGATTCTGGAGCCAGAGAGACACTTCTAGACTTCTTTATAAAATCTTTTTTTAAATTTTTTTAAAGATTTTATTTATTTATTTTTAGAGAGGGAAGGGAGGGAGATAGAGAGAAAGAGAAACATCAGTGTGCGGTTGCTGGGGGTCATGGCCTGCAACCC